CACAGAAGTCCAATAACAGATCACCGCTTGGATACGATCAGGCAGGCCATTCCTCCCAATCACACCCTTCCAGGTTGCATTACCCATGTAAGCATTAAAGTCCCCCAGCAGAATAACAGAGTCCCCAGATCGAGCACCTTCCAATGAAAAAAGTGAAACAGCAGGGGGAAAATAAACTATAGATACAGAGTATATTACATTAACACCCTAGGTGGAGTGGTGGCTCTGAGGCTAAGGATTTGTATCAGTACCTGGAAGGCTGCTGGTTCAAATCCTGTGAATGCCCAGCATGATTCTACTCTGTTGGGCCCTTTAGCAAGGCCCTTATCCTGCAAGTGCTTCATCCTGGATATGATGTTAATCTACATAAAGCCCTATAAGGAGGTTTTCCAACTTACAGGGAATAACTTGGGGGTTGGTGGTAGGATTGGCACTATAGCCACTGGGAAAAAACTCACACTGGTCTACTCAGACTACTGTGGTGCTGATCACCCACTGTATGGTTGCACTCCAATTCTCATCCCTGAGATGGTTTGTCATGTGGTGGGTGCCACAATGCACTGTAATCAGTGCATGGTCCTTACCTACCTACTATGGTGACCGGGCCACTTCTGCATTCCATTAGCACTTATAGATCAAAAAGTTGAACAATAATTGCAGTTAAGTCAGGCAGCACTATATTCTACGTATTTGAATTTGTGGATAAAACACATGGGCAGAATAATTGTTAATGAGACATTCGCACAAATTTTCTGTGTAATTTGCATTTAAAAAATGAATTATTGAAGCAGCATAAGTGACGCGAATGTTGCTATGTAGGTCTGATTATGTTTTTTAATTACTTCTGAATACCTTTAAGGATGAAATTTGAAGATGCCAGTGTTTTACATGCTCGCTCTCCCTAAGATTCAAATTCACCATTTAGAGAGATAAAAAGCAAAGGACTTCATTTTGACTTAAAACGACTTGTCGTTTTCTTCTTCTAATGTGACTTCATTAAGCGTTCTGCGTAAATCAGCATAAACACCATCAAACGAGTGTTGTCACACATGCTTTGTAAAAACCAGGCTTCCAGTATGACATACAGTATATGAAAGTGACGATAGCTTCAAAAGCCTAAAAAACATCAGATAAACAATATTGTACAGAAAACCCAATAAATGCATTGTCCTGACCCCAAACAGGACTCTATGGTGGTCTGTGCGTAAAAGTTATTTAAAAAATAATGTGTTATTATTTTTGAAGTAAATGCACACATCAACATAATTTTTTTTTGGTATTTTATGTAAAATGTAATTTTTGTCATTCACTAGTTAAACCATTTTCTAAAATATACTGTTATATGAGGTTAATTGAGGCTCTTGCTACTCGTTGTGTCCGACTCTCCTATCCTTACCCCTGCCTACGAACCTAGACCCTGGTCCACTGTAATCTATATGCGTAATCAGGTCACTCTTATTCGTAGTCGGGTTACAGAGGGATGGAGCAAAGAGGCCTTGATTAGGTAGGTGCATGGTGGTGGTGGGGGGGGGGGCGGTTGCAGAGGGTTATTGAGAGCAATCTATGGAATGCCATAACAGTTCAATTCCACTTAGCAGGAAAATCCTTGTGTGATCACCCGAGCCTACTACTCAGAGATATCCTAACGTCAGGGGACAGTGCTTAGTGTTCCTGAATGTGCGAGGCAGCTAAGTGGCTTATAAACAAGAACGAGATTTTCCCACCTTCGGTGTCTGACTGTGAGATGAGACTGAAAAGGACAGACGTCATTCTTATCACCGTGGCTGCCAGCTGATGGCTCTCGGCCACTTCAACTGCAAGGGAGATGATTGGTTATCAGTTCACTATGCAAAAAAAGCTACTGTGCATTTGGAAGAATTGCTGAAAGGCAAACGTGCACAAGCACGTATTGTCACGCAGTCACTTTGCACACTCCAGTTAGAGAGAAAAACAAGACAGGGTAACAGACTCAAGATGCAATATCCCCAGTGTCCGCTGGTAGGGCTTGATGTAAACACTGCATCCCGAATGGTCAGCCCCACCCCTCTGATTTTGATTTACAGGGCATAACACTCAGTGTTAAGCTGCACTTCACAACCTTGTTTAGAACATAAGAACATAAGAAATTTACAAACGAGAGGAGGCCATTCGGCCCATCAAGCCCATTTTGGGAGAACTTAACTAATAGCTCAGAGTTGTTAAAATCTTATGTAGCTCTGATTTAAAGGAACCCAGGGTTTTAGCTTCCACTACACTAGCAGGAAGACTATTCCATACTCACGGAACTACACGCTGTGTAAAGAAGTACTTCCTCAAATTTTTTTTTAAATGTTCTCCCGCTAATTTCCACTTATGACCACGAGTTCTAGTATTTAAACTAATATTGAAATAGCCATTTGACTGAACAGCATCCAGACCCGTTAGAATCTTGTAGACCTGGATCATGTCCCTCCTTAGTCTCCTTTGCTCAAGGCTAAACAGATTCAGCTCACCTAACCTCTCCTCATAAGACATTCCTCTAAGACCAGGAATCATTCTCGTAGCCCTCCGTTGCACCTTTTCTAAGGCAGCAATGTCCTTCTTAAGGTATGGTGACCAAACCTGCACACAATATTCTAGGTGGGGTCTTACCAAGGAATTATATAAATGTAACATCACCTCCCTTGACTTAAACTCCACACACCTAAACTCCACACACCTAA